TCAAAGACTATTTACTTCTACGCGTACTGCTCCACCTATGACGTGACATCATATCATGTCAGGGGATATTTACTCAATGAGTCATCGTCCAGATGGAGAGGCATGAAAGGTTTTGATCATATACAACCCAGGTTTGCTGTGGAACACACAATGTGAGCCTTAGCTTATGCTCTGATGACTTCTCACCGTACAATTAGTTCGCATCACCTTACTCTTCGTGGCTAGTGATCGTTACACTATACAATCCTCCTTTCGAGATGTGCATGACAACACCATTCTTATTCATGACCTTGATTATACCATGTCCCAATAGTTCTATAGATCGGATTGATGTATATTTCTAACCTTTGATAGATGGGCTGCAAATTCCTTGGGAAAGGTGTGTCATGACTTATGTTGTTATGAAACATAATTTTCTAATGAAAGCAGCATTAATATGGAGAATAAGTGATGTTCCAACGTATGGAATGCTATGTGGGTGGAGCACTGCGGGAAAGTTTCCAAGGCATTTACGCTTTAGCATGACAAGAAGTATTCATGGTATGACTGTCACCTTTTTTTTTGTAGATGATGAACATTCATTCAGAAGAAACAAAAATGCATTCTGAAGAAATAAAATTGAGAAATCAACGTCACTTCCAATAATATATGGGAGAGATTTATTTCAAATTATTAATGACATTCCAAAGATTACTGTTTAGCCCGAGTTATCTTCACATCGTCCATCAAAATTTGGTGTTACTCATAGTTGGACTAAGAAATTCATTTTTTGGGATCTGCCTTACTAGAAGGGTAACTTGATCAGGCATATCTCCTTGTCATTATTGTACTTATCGCTATTTAGGAGCAAAAAAACACAGCGAACTAATTTGTATAACACCAGGAATATTCCCAGAACATAATAACACATGAGTATCATCACAATAACACCTAAATAATACGGAATAACACAAATGGAATATTCCCCTATGCTGAAACGTTTTTTTTTAAATTTTTCTGTCAACTTCACGTGGCGTGATTTCATTAGACTTCAAACGTATCTCTATATCCCGAGTCCGGATGTAATATTTGTTCCTCTAGTGCTGCAAAACTCTATATTCCGCTGCCAACCACGGCAGTATTCAAGCAACCTTTATTTTTTGGGTTGGGGCATTTACATACATCCCGCCTAATTCTCATGTATTTACAAATCTAACACCTAAACTTTGCTTCTTATTCTTGAGTTTATGCCAAATCTCTCACTATTTTGCTAAAAGGATTTGAAAAAAAAAAGAAGAATATTTGTGCAAAATTCGTTCTTTTGTTTTTTTCCTTTTGTTTCTTCTGAAGAAGTTATTTGAACAAATAGTGCCGCAATATTTTAAGTAAAGAAGCGGAGGTTGTTAATTACTTCTTCCAACCCCACTTTGGAATCTTAATTAGTAGCCATTTTTTTTTCGCCTGCCGAACCTTTTTTGAACAAGTAAACATGTATTGGATTTCTCGTAGTTGTGTGCCAGCTTCTTCCATTTTTTTTTAATTAAAAACTTTCTTTTTGGATAATTATATATATATATATATATATTTTGAAAGGAATGACCGAATGATATGATACGAGCCCCGATCATTCCTCATGCGCCTATAATTTGAGTACCACACCCTCCACCTGGGGAATCAAACCTCAGACTAGATGGGACTTAAACTGACAAGCAGATGTCAGACCAACTGATCTGAGTACGCGGCGCTTTATTATGTATATAAAAGATATAATGAAAATAGAAGTATAAATTGCAAACTGGTCTTAAAATCTATGCTTGGGTTATCTTGCAAATGATTTGAAAAGGACAGAATTGAATACTAATAAAATCTATGTGAAACTTATATAAGACTCCGTGGCTCATCAATAAGCGAGAGTAAAACCTGCAAAATCGTTGAAAGCCAGTCTTTATACATGCAAGGAACACACTAATTTGCTAGTGAGGTCGAATAAGACGTTTAATGAAAATTTAGCTTTTCTCTTAATTTACTTGTGCATTAAGATATGATTTCATGTTTTTCACATGATTCATGAAGCAATGCACAACTCAAATTAATCACACAAAATGATGTACAAATCGCCCATAACGCTCGAAATAGAGATTTATGATAGCATTCATAGACCGTAGAAGCCAGAATTGTGAGTTATATGAGTTGTGAGCCGCATAAGCTGTAGTTGGCTACATATGCTTTAATGTAGAGCTGTAATAATGTTCGTAGCCTAAAAGACCGGAGTTGAGCTGCAAGGACTTTAATAATGTCATTAGGTTACAAAAGCTGAAGTCAGGAGTTACATGAATTGTGATAACATCTGTAATCCAAAGATATCGGAGTCAAGAGCTGCATGAGCATTGATAACTTCTATAAGTCACAGGGGTTGAAGTTGAGAGCTGCACGAGTTGTGATAACGCTTGAAGACTTAGAGGCCGAAGTTGGGAGGTGCATGAGTTTTAATAACATCTGAAAATTGAAGAGGCCAGAGTTGGGAGTTGAATGAGTTATCATAATGTTTGTAGGCCAAAAGAGCTGGAGTTGAGAGCTTCATAAGTTGTGATAATATTTGTAGGTCGCATCGCAGATATCAAAGTTGGGAGCTGCGGGAGCTGCGAACCACGTAGGCTGCAGTTGGTTAAGTAGACCATAGTGGAGGGCTGCAAGAAGAGAGCTTCAAGAGTCCAAAGAAAGTCAATGTATCCTGAGTACATCGGTCATAAATAGTTATTGCGGGAAGCTGTCGTCAGATCCTTCATAGGATGTTATTCAAGATCACGTATTGGGAGTATGTCGTTACTCCATATGTGACGTGCATTGGTATACCTTCTTTAAGGCGTGCTGTTACGCCATCATTGCAGTGTGCCGTTACAGTATTTTTGGCGTGCATTGTTACTTCGTCTTTAGGTGCATATAGGGGTGTAAACGAGCTGAACACGAGCGAGCCCGAGCTCCGCTCCTGTCCGACACGTAAAAAATGCTATTGTTTGTGTGTTTATATTTCGAACACATTTTTTTTTGTGTTCGGCTCGCACGAACTGTTCACAAACAAGAGTCGTTTTGATAACCCTAGTCACTTAGTAGTAGGATGCTAAGGGTTGAAGCGATATTTAAATCTGATTAATTATATTAAAACATCATTTAAATAAAATTTAATATATTATTATTCAAATTTTTAATTAATAATTTTAATTGATTATAAATTTTTGTTGCATATATATATATATATATATATATATATGGTATACTTCAAAACATATACATTTAAGGTTTCAATCATATATATATATTTTTGTGTGTGCGCGAGCGCTCGCATAATTATTTCGAGCCAAATCGAGTCAAACATGAATGAACAAATCTTTGTTCGTGTTTGACTCGTTTATATATCGAGTGCTAAAAAATTGTTCATGTTCATCTCGTTTGCTTAGCGAACATATCAAACACGAGTTTTTTAACGAGTTGAACACAAAATTTTCGCAAACAACTAGTCATTTCGAGAACACTAGCTGCATATTTGCATTGCTTCGTATGATGTTTAGTTACTATGTAAGTCTAGCTGTTATTCTAAACGGTTCATAAATTATTACTCCATAGCTCCATAAGGGACTTCGATACAACGATCAGAGGGCAGTGGATGATGGTCATCGGTGTTCGATGGATGCAAAAATAGACAACATTCATTGGACTTTTTGTGTGGAACACTATACTTTGACTCCTTCTACAACAAGCATCAGGGTTTCTTTTGTTCAAGGTCTTGATCCCCCTTCATGATAAGGGTAGGGCTCTATTTATGTAGGAATCCAAACCACTCTATTGGGGGACCCAAAGTAATCCCTTTAATTGGGCAGCTTTCAACACACATTTGAGTGCCTTAATAGTGTCATACTTGAGTGATTTTGGATTAGTTGGATTCATCTCATCAGGATGATCAATTTGACTTAAAGTTTGTTAGATTTGGAATCCATTTTATTTTGCAATTGGTCACGAGAAGCTTCTTAAATTAGTTTAACGATTATATCTTGACTTGATATGACTCGGATGTGGTTAATGTTGGTGTTATTGCATTCATCTCGTCAAACCGTTCAGTTTGACTTTAAGTTTGTTGAAATCATAGTTATTGATGATTTTTAATTAAAGTTTGAGCATGCAGTCATTGCTAAAAAATTGCTTCGAGATCCATTTCACGCCTTGAGTTTCGTATCAGATGGAGTATCAGATACAATGTTAAGTGATCGATTCATCTCGTGTCACATGAATTTTTCTCTCTTTATTGAGGGTTCTCGAGTAATACAAAATGCATAATCATCACACACAAATCTCTAAGGAAATACGATTCATCCTTTCTTGTTTTATTTTGAATTTAACATCATAATTTATATTCTCTCTAAAACTCTAGGCCTCTTTCTCGTAAAGCTCACGAGTTATTGTCAGCTTATGTGCTTAGCTCTTGTGACAACCGACAATCAACAATTAGACTTCAAGGTGAGTTTCTCCAATCAAATCAGCTAATCTTTTAGATAATGAGGTAAACCCGTTCCCTTCAAGCTATGATCGAGCCGATTGTGATAGGCAAATTGATAACCCGTATTTGATAACTAGTACTTGACTTGCAATCCACTCGTGCTCGTGCTTGACAGAACTGATATTCAGCTACTCATATCTGTCAACTTATTAGCCTGACAAAACAACTGAGCAAAAAAAAATTCAATAATCCACCCTAACATGCCATCCTGAGTTTAATAAGTGGCCTTCAACTATATAAGGAATTTAATATAGAGCTTCTAAGAATACTCCAACAAAATAATAATAATAATAATAATGCCATAGCTTATCATAAATGTAATATAAAATAACAGCATCTTAAAAAAAAAATCAAAATTAATGTAACCATTAAATTATGTTTTCCTTGGCTTGGCATGACCACCTGGTCAACACCCCATCACATCCTATAAATTGAACCCATTCCCTCCATTCCCACCTCAGGCGGCCAAAAAATGGAAACCCCCAAAAACCTCCTCCAACTCTTCCACCACCTCCGCCACCGCCTCCACCGGCTCCTCAGCCTCATTTCTCTAAAAGACCTTCTCCTCTCCCTCCTCCTCCTCATATGCGGCCTCTCTCCCGTCACCCTCCATCTCTCCGGCGGTGCCACCTCTCTCTACATGTGGGCGCCCCGCCGCCCCCCCCGTCGCCGCCCCCCCCGCCCCGCCCTCGTTCTCATCCACGGATTCGGCGGCTACTCCAAATGGCAGTTCGAGCGCCAAATCGCGGCGCTCTCCCGCCACTTCGACCTCTACTTGCCGGACCTCGTCTTCTTCGGTGAGTCGGAGTCGGTGGAGGAGAAGCGGTCGGTGAAGTTTCAAGCCAAGTGTGTGGCGGAGGGGATGCGGCGGGGCGGGGGGGGGGGGAGAGCGGGGGGGGGGGGGGGGGGGGGGGGGGGGGGGGGGGGGGGGGGGGGGGGGGGGGGGGGGGGGGGGGGGAGGAGGCCGCGAATCAGGTGGAGAGGTTGGTGGTGATTGCGTCGGGGGTGGCGATGACGGCGGAGGAGAGGAAGGAGTTGGTGGAGAAAGAGGGGAGAGATTTGGCGGAGATATTGCTGCCGGAGAGAGCTGAGGATTTGCGAACTTTGTTTGAACGGTGCATGTTCATGCCGCCCAATTGGATGCCCGAGTTCCTTCTTCGTGATTTCATTCAGGTTTGTTGCCAGTCTCGGATGAATTGGACATGGGCCCCATATAAATATTAAATATTAAATATTTAATTGTATTTTTATACAATTTAAGTAATATAATAATAGTTTAATAATATTGTTTTTATCAATCGGATAAATATAATTTTTCAATTTAATATTGTTATTTTTAAATAATTTAAGTTGACATTTTGAGACAAAAATTTTATTTATTTTTAATTTAAATATTTTAGTTTAATTATGAATAAAATAAAATAGGTTAAATTAGACAATCATAGAATCTACCGTTTCCGTATTGAGACCGATTCATGGTTGAGCCGGCGAGTCCAACCCAATTCTTATGACATGGAATTTGTCAACATAATTTTACAAAAATAACATTCTGATATAATTAATCTAAGTGCAGAAAAAAATTTTAATTTTGTTAAGTTTGATTTGATATTAATATTATCTCAAAGTCTTATTTATTCGTGACATAGTGGTTGACAGTGTAGTTTTTCACGTGATTAGTTGAGGGTTTGAATAATCTATATTGTTTTTTGAGCTCATCTTTCCCAAAAAAGAAGGGAAAATAAAAATCTCAATTTTATACTACGATCGGTCTCCTACATTGCCAAGAAGAATTTTCATTTGAAATTTGTTCATCAATTCATTATATTTTCAAGTAAATCAGTATAACTAAATTGTAGTCTAAAATGAAGTGTAATCATGGTTTACTACCTCATAAAATTATTAATCAAGAGTTGTTAACTATAAATCTAATGGTAATTATTTTATTTTATTTTTTTCAGACAATGCTGAAAAAAAATAGGAAGGAGAGGGCAGAACTGCTGAATGAACTTCTATCAAATGGCGTTGGTTGTGGCTCTCTTCCAATTCTTAAGCAGGTAGTTAATTATTTTAATTAATGGGTTGTAAATGAATAAACCCCTTCGGATTACACATAACTAATTAGTTCAAAATGCTATTAACCGAATCAGGAAACCCTAATCCTATGGGGCGAAAAAGACTCCATTTTCCCGTTGCCTCTTGCTTATGCTCTGAAGAGGTAATTCTAAACTAACTAATTTTATTCAATTATTTTCTCTATTTGTTGCAAATTTATTAATATTTCTCTTATGTAATCAGGCATTTGGGAGATAAGGCGAAATTGCAGGTGATTAAGGAAGCTGGGCATGCAGTGACATTAGAGCAGCCTCGACATGTAAATAACATGATTAGGAGGTTCATTTTGCAAGAAAAGGTGGCTTAAGATGTGGGGGAATCATATATACTTACATGGATATGTCATGTGTTTTTTTAAAACCTCGCATAAAAATTTCACCTTGATCAACTTTGAGCTCAATCACTTGTATTTTGTGTTTAGCCACCGAGACTTGTTCAAATTACAAAAAAAAAAAATGTTACATTTATACCAAATTGTCAGAGAAAATGTATGAGCTTAATAGCATATTTTCGGCAGTTTTTTAATTACCTTTTGGCTTTGTTTTTTAATTACATCTTTACCTTTTGGCTTTGTTTTTTAATTATGCCATATTGTATCAATTTCACTTAGTGATTTTGTCATTATTTGGAAATTTTCTTCTAGTACATTCCTTGCAATAATATATTGATGGAAAGTTGGTTTCATCCATTTATTGTAAGGTCTTATACTAAAATTTTTTTTTCCTTAGTTTTGTCTGGAGTTGCTCTATAATCTTTTGGTTTTTTGTTTGTTATGACTTTATGTTGGTATACTTTTCGTAGTCTTTACGTTTTGATAATGTTTTAAGATTAAGCTATAATGTACTCATTCTTACTTACTGACTTTGCATTCCTTTGGAGACTTTATTTTGGTATATTCCTTGCAATTAAATCTAGATGGAAATTGGGTTTGAACCATTTACTGCAAGGTCTTATACTGTGATTTTATTTCCCAAGCCTTAGGTTGGAGTTACTATGTTATGTTTTGGGTTGGGCTGAGTTTATATTTTTTTTTCTTTTTCTGTCTCTTTTTTGCATTTAGTATTGTCGTTTAGTAATAATGTTTGCAATATTGTTGTTTTTGTTCCTGGCTCTTTTTTTATTAAAGAGTTTTTTTTTTTTTTCTTCTGAATGAGATGTTCTTCTGGGGGATTCTTGTTGTTTGTTGCATTAAGTTGTTCTTCTGGCTACATTGTTGCAGTTGTTCTTTTGTTGGAGCTACTAAGGGTCCGCTCTTTTGTTGGAGCTGTTCGTATTTGGAAGACTAAGGGTCTGTTTTGGGCAGCTGCAACTTATCCAGCTTCTGCTGATAAGCAGCTTATCCTGATAATCTGCTGATGACCAGCTGATCCGGATAAGTTGTCTGGTTGTTTGGTTTGCGCTTATTAAAAACAGCTGATTCTGGAAAATTGATCATTCTGCCCCTGTTCTGAATAAACTGTTTAGCTGTTTGGTTAGTGCGTTTTGTAAACAATTTATTTGCAATTTTTTTTAAATTAAATTAATAATTTGTGGAGCAGAATTTGGATAGATTTCTATCTTTAAAATAATAAAAACTTTGTTTCAAATGTTACACCTTCGGAGAGACATAACTTTATTTCCAGATACAAGCTAAACTAAGGCAGTTAATACCAATACAACCATAACAACTTTGCATAATAATGCGTATATGGATAATAGGTATTACTTTAAAACTTCTAAAGTGTGGCCACTTATAGCTGCAATTAATATATCTTTGCCATACAAAGGTAGATCAATTAAGAATACAAGCGCCATAAAATCAACATTGAGAGAAAGGAAGATTACTAATTACTACCAACCAAGTGTCCAGAATGAGGCTCAACATTTATGAAAAGGCCAATTCCTTGCAAGTTCCCATCGCTACCAATTCTGAAGCTTTGAAATTCTTGCATATTAAAGCAGTTCTATCAATTATAACAACTATGGCACCATGTATACAACTCCCTTAAATGAAAGATCATAGTTAAGAAAAAATAGAAATCAGGTCAACTGCAGAATCTATTATGCAGACAAGATGAATGCAGAGTTGCAGCTGAATCTTTTATATATTTTTTTCTAACATCCAAAAACAAAAATTGTTCGTCTATTCAAACTATCCAAATGCTGGTCAGCAAAATCTTGCAAAGGAATGTTCCTCGGGCAACAAAACTATAATAAAAAAGAGAGGATTTCCAAGCCCAAATACTTCAGGTTTTTAAGCTCAAAAACTTATATGATTATCTGTAGAACGAATTAGTATGGACGATAAAAGAAAGGAACACAACCATATGTATTTTCGAACCTTTGGGCTTATTAATTTTGTGAAAGGATCGCCAAGTGTCCAAAGCATTCCCCTGATCTTGCTATATGCCACATCTGCAAATATTTAAACGAACCCTGATGATTAAACGTAGGATCAATGAAAGTCTCCCGTACTAATCCCCACACCTCAATCAGTGTCCGCTGTACCGTATTCACCTAAAACAGAGCAGCTCTAACTCAGAATCACCAGCAGAAAAGAAAAAACATTCAAGAAAATCTCTTAACCACTGTGACTTTATCTCTAGATGATTGTCAGAGTTTCATTGCTGCATTTATGTCATTAGTTTATGTCTGTTATTTTTGTTTCTGTTTTACTTTGATGTAATTTTTGTTTCTTTTTTTTTTTTTAAACTTTTCTGTATTAATTTTATTGATTTAATAAATCTGGGCTAGTCCCTGACTTTCCCAAAAAAATAAAATAAAATAAAATAAAGAAATGCAAAATCTCTATCCAAAATAATGAGGTGTTGCTAAGCCGCCTTCTCAAGATACAATATCGACACATAACGTACCTGGGGCCATATTGTATTGTAAGTGTTGCTTTTGTAATTTTTTTTATTCAATCATTTTTAATTTTATTATTTTTAGTTCTTTTTTTATATTAAATTAAATTTTGTGCATAACTTAATTTTTTTTATTTATTTAATATTATACTTTCGGGTTTAGAGATTATTTGCAACTGCGTTGTACTGAACATTCGTGTTGTACGGAACAAATACAACTTTATTATACTGAACAAAGTAAGGGTTAATAGCGGGTTTAGGGATTATTTCATATTTTGTTCATTATAACACATGGTTTATGCCATGTCATGAACATTTATGTTCAAATCATTTATTTTAAGACCATTTTTCTCCTCATTATATAGCATATTTAAGAATTATTTATATGTTTAGTTCAGTACAACAAGGTTGTATCTGAGATTTTTTTTCAGTACAACCATGTGATTATGTCATATTATGAACCTTTACATTCATATCATGTATTTTAGAATCATTTTTGTCCCCATTATAACAGATTTAAGGATAATTGATATGTTTTGTTCAGTACAACACAATTATATTAGTTTTTTCTTCAGTACAACCATGTGTTTATGTCATACCAGAAACTCTTACATTCAAACCATGTATTTTAGAACGTCACAACTGTGTTGTAGTCAATAAAATATGTTAATAATCCATTTTTAGATTGGAGTTAGGGGATGTAGAGTAACGTTTGTATTCCGCATGTAATATTTCTATGTCCGGACCCTGCAGATAATATATTCCCCTTATAATGTCACATGCTTCACCTCGCAAAATACTTTCTTGAGGGAGAATTTGTCAAATTTATAAGCTCTGTAATTAGTGATTTTTAATGTTAAATTTATCAAATAAAACAATATTCATTTAAATGTTTTTGATATTAACGGTATAGACAGCGAAGTTTGAAATGCCTATTAAGGGAAAAATTATTTCATACGGACACATCATGCAGAGATGCATGTGGTGTCCGGTCTCCACCGTCGATCACAACAAAGATGTATTTTGATGGGCCCCACTTTAAAATTTTTATATAAAAAAAAAATTTGATTGCAGTGATCGACAGTGGAGATCGAACACCGCATGCTATCCGTACGGAATAATTTCTCATATTAAGAAGTTGGTTCTATTAAGCGATATATTAAAAGTTTTCCAGCCACAGAAAAATCAATTGTAGCAGGAACTAACCAAACTTTAAATTAAATCGAATTCTAAATGATTTTCAAATTACAGTTCAATTCAAACTTGTATAAGCAAAAATATTAAACTGAAAAATTAAGACCAAATTCAACCATCTTGCTACTTCAATTTGATTAATTAATTCCCTTTGCCTCTTGCTTACGGTCTTAGAAAATAATCTCATTTTCAATTCAACACACATTTTTCTTGGAAATTTATGAATATGTTAACAGCATTTAAACATGTTGAAAGATATAATTTACATGTTTTTATATGTAAACAAACATTTGGGAGACAAATTAAGCAAAATTGTACGTAAGTGATTAAGCAGGTCACGCATGATGGTTAAAGAAGCTTCATCTTGGGACGTTCAGAGTCAACAAAAGATACTATATTGAAAGAGTGCTTTATTAGAAGTTAATATGACGCCCATACAATCAATGAGATAATGTTAGGGAAAAGTATTAAATCTGATTGATGATTGTATGTTAGGAAGATTGATATTAGAAGATTTAATTAAGTGATCTTTTTTAGATTAAAAATATTCTTAATTTGTAAGTCCTAATTGTGGTATTTTTTTGTGTGTTGAGTTTTAACCCTATTTCGGCGGGTTTTTTTTTTTCTCTTCCTAGCTTTTAATAGCAGAATAACCCCTCATCGTGAACGTAGCCAGATTTGGGTCGAGCCACTTAAATGGTACTGTATTTTATTATTGCATTGTTGCATGATATTGTTTTTCGCATTGTTGAGCACAAGAATAAACTCTGAACACTATTAAAAATAAGAATTTTCACAGCATTTTATACATGCAATCACAGTGATAAAAACTCTTGATGTTTTCATTGCATCGAATTTTAAATCGCTGTAATTGTTAGTACTGCAAATATTTTTAGAGTTTTAGCAAAAGTGGCGTACTCAAATACTCCTGTCATCGCCTTTATTTCTTATTTACGCTCTAGAGTTTTTTGTTTCGTGTCCACACCGGCCTTCATTTTCTCTTCAAGTCCTAGGGTTTTGGTTTAGGTTTTTCTGTGATATATTGAGGAGAACAACATTCAAGAAGCGTGGCTACAATAAATCTTCATAACAGTATAATTTTGAAGATGGAAAGCCAAAAATTTGTTGGCAAGTATGAAATAGAGATTAGTTTAACTGTCATTGAAATTATACTATTATTTTGTATTGTTTGAAGTGTTTTATAGCTTCAATCAATTTATCTCGATTGACTATAACAACCTCAATGTATCTAAGGGTCTTTTTAGGGCAAATGCAGCTTATTTAAAAATAAATGTGAATATCTGAAAAATAATCTGATGTTCAAAAAGCTGCTGTGACTATTATTTTTTTTCTTAAAAAAAAATAAGTAAGACAACAATTAGAAAG